CCCCCCCCCCCCCCCCCCCCCGCATACTTCCTCTATCAATCCTCCTCTTGCATACATATGTATCTCTCTTTCCACTCTCTTCCCTTCCATAAATTTATCAGGGTGGGATAGATGTTGTCTACCTGAGATATGAAGCAATCAATGGCAGAGGTCTACTCCCCCACTGCACATACATAGTTGCCACTCTTCTCTCCTATCAGTTCTCCTCCCTCCTTTTTCTTTCTCCTTTCCATCTTCCTTCTTATACTGACCTCTCTTGCATGAAATTAGGCAGAATGTCATATGTAAATTTTGCATGGTATTTTATTCACCTATGCTATATATAACATTGGGAGCATGGGAAGATATACAGGTAGTCCTTGCTTAACAACTGTTCGTTTAACGATGGTTTGAAGTTACAATGGCTACAGAAAAAGTGCTTTACAACCTGTACTTGTACTTACAACCACTGCAAACCATCACACTACCCCCCACAGTCACATGACCGCAATTTTGACCTTTTTTATGACAGTCATAAAGCAAATCACCACAGTGGTTAAGCAAATTGTGGCCATTAAGCAAATTCTGACAAAAAAAGTCCATTGGGGAAGCTGGATTTGCTTAATGACCATGTGATTCACTTAACAACCATGTGATTCACTTAATGACCACATGATTCCCTTAACGACTGCAGTGATTCGCTTTACGACCATCGTAAAAATGGTAGTAAAACTGGGTCTGGTCATGTGGTGACTTGCTTAACAACCGCCCCACGTAATGACCAATTTTCTGGCCCCTATTGTAGTCTTTAAGCAAGGACTACCTTTATGTGGATAGAAGGGAATCACATAATAATATAGGGACTTTTTAATGTAAGGGAAACTCCCTTGGAGTCTGTTGCTTATGTTAGTTATGACACCTCATAATCTGCCACTTGGAAAAACGAGGATTAGTCTAAGTATGGTACAGTCCCCTTGTTATCAAATATGTAGCAAATTCTTCATCGTATATATTGTTGTAATTACTTTTTCCAAATAATCTCATACAGTGAATGCTTATGAGGCAAGATATCAGATAATCTCTCTGAAAATATAAGTAAATGCCTGGCAGGGGAAGACTTATCAAATCTGATGTCCTTCAGAAGTATTTACAGCTACTACAAGCCAAGCCATATTTGAAAAGGTATGTTAAGATCCATTAGTAAATGATTTTTTAAAAAATAAAACAAAGTCTCAAGAGTATCTCTATACTGTACCTCTCAGATATGCCTTAATCTATATTCATGGATACATAGATAAGAGAACCACTGTGGTAGTTCATGTCATGGACTAGCATCAAAGACACCCAGGTTCAAGTCCACCCTCAGCCACAGAAGCTCACTGGGTGCCTTTGATGGTGACTGGAAACCCTTTATGGACTTTTTGCATAAAAATGAAAAAAATGACCTTGTGATTTATGGCTTTGATGATTAGACAGGAGAGATTATAGAAAGATGAGACTCATGATCTCAGAGGTCTCTCAGAGGTTTAACCTCTCAGAGAGAGAGGTTAAAATATAATTGTACTTATAACTGCTGTGAAGAATATCGGAAGCCATTTCTTTGTATCTTTTTTCTTTCTTTTCTATTTTTCTTTTACTTTTTTTTTCTTTTCTTGCACGTTTAGCTTTCTCTTTGATTTCTTTCTTTTTTCTTCCTTACTATATATCAGTTTGTATTTGTTTTTATCTTTCTTTTAAAAAGCTTTAATAAAAATTACATACATAAGCTCATTGGGTGCTTTTGGGACAGTCACTCTCTCTCAGATCACCCTATCTCATAGGTCTCCTCTTGCTGGCGTAAATTTAAGGGAAATCTCCATGGAAGCCACCTTGAGCTTTTGTTAGAAAGGCAGGATATACAACTTTCAAAGAAATAAAATAAATAACTACATATTGAAATATTCTCTCTGAGGAACGAAGAAATGAAACAGTGAAAAGCAAGTTGCTATATAGTAGCATTTTTCAACTATTTGTGAAGACTAAATAGGACCTCTCAATTGCAGCCGCCCATTTTTAAGATTCCCTTTATCAAAACAAAAACAAAACAAAAACCATAGAAGTACAACATACTTGTCTGGGTCTACTATTTGGACCACATTTCAGTAGGATGTTTACAATGCCCAAGGCACCCAAGTTTCGCCACAGAAATAGCAAATGGTGTAAATTTACCATAGGCAGTGCAGTGAAGATTTTTCAGCGAGTAATTCCTGAACATTTTATCTTAGGACTCACTCCTAGGAAGTCCCCAAATATAATATTCTGGATCTGTTAATGAAAAATTGCTCCCTTCCTAGGATAGGGAAGAAAATAAAAAAGATCAGAGGAGAAAAGAAAAAAAAAACATACGTGCGCACACACATACACTGCTAGTGCAAATTGGTAGTCTTTTTGAAGTGCAAAATTACTCATCTCTTCATTTTGTTCTCAAAACTTAGAACTGTTTTTGGAGGCAGAAAATCCATGAAGTACTGTGCTACATTGCAATAGTATACTATGAAGCATAACAGGCCATTTGCTGCCTTGTTGTGCGATCCCAACCTCTGATGCTCAAAAAATTGTTTTTCCTGACCCAGAGTATAGGGTACTTCATACTGATAACAGAACACTGTAATCAACATCAAATATTATTGTGCTGTAAGCATCTTTCTGATAGAGATTAGCAGAATGAGTAGGATGCCAACAGTAGAAATAGCTATATTGGGCTGGGGATGATATGTGTCAGGGCTCTAAGGGAGTCCCAAATAATCAACAGTCTGCCACTGGAGAATACAGGATAGTCCCAGTCTTTCAAATTTAACATTAATAAATGTAGTATTTCCATGAAGTCAAAAAGATAAGCATGAAACCCATTGCCCAGAAAAACAGTCACCTGATTAACAATAAACTAAAGTAGTCAAATAAGATTATAATTTCTTTGGTCTCCTATGTAAAACCAACTGTGCACAGATATACAGACATGTGCAGAGGTATGCAGACATACACTGGAAAACAACATATCTGCTTCTTTTAGGTTTAATTATCTCTGAACTTTAAAAATCCACTGGCTAGGCATTAAAACAAGTATCCAAGGATTCACTCACCTATTTCTTTCTAATCATCCCATTATCTGATTGCCTTGGGCATGTACTATTAAAGACAGCAGGCTATAATTAACCACGTTTTTGTTCCAGGGCAATACCTATTCCCTCCAGTGTCCCCACTATTGGAAAGCAAAAACTGACAAGCAGTGCATTTTTAAAGCAGACCATGATGCTGAGCCTGTGTCATGTGTATTTTATTAGATCCAAGACTGAATAGAAGACTTTGTTTTCCACTTCAAAGGACCCGTTCCAATCTTGTGCTCTTCCCTTATGAATAACAAATTTGAAATAAATCTTTGGGATGAAACACATGGAAACTCATACAGTCTGGGCTCTCTCTGTCTTCCTAGGTCACTTGTGTGCTATGTTCCATTTGTTTATTATTAAATAGTTTAAGAAATTCCAAAGTGTGACCTATGCTGAAATGCAAGCATATTTCTGCATACTATAAGATACACCATGCATCTTTCTCAAAAGACAAAGGCTATTCTTATGCTGGATTATATTTAAATGTGCTCCTCTGCTATGTTTTGCCATGCATTCAATATGGACATCATTTCACTATTTCTGGGCAAGGAAAACTAATCTTATCACTTTTTCAAAAGTCCATGCTGCCCCGTTAACAATGTTAAATCTTCTGCAACACATTTAACATAATAACCCTTCAGAGAGCTGATATCCACGCACCCAAATTAGCTGACAGACATCTCCCAATTCTACTCTGTGCCAATGATGCAGTTCTTCTCTCCTTGTCTTCTGTGGGCATGAAGCAGGCACTAAGAATCCTGGCATCCTACTGTAATGAGGAACAACTAATTATCAATTATGATAAATCTAAAGTTTTAGTTTTCTCCAACAAAAGACAAAGGCACAAATGGATCATTGATTCCCATGAATTAGAGCAGATCAAATGTTTTAAATACCTGGGCATAGTATTTCAGGCCCCTAGGAAATTAACAGCCCAGGTAAATTATGCCACTTCCACTGCCCAAAAGAGCACACAAGCAATAACCAAATTTTATAGGCAACAGGCAGCAAATTACATTCCAGTAGCAATCAAACGGTTTATGGCTAAAACAACTGCCCAACTATTATATGGGATACAACTTGGCCCATATACAAACTTAAGGGCTTATGAAACAATTCAATTGAATTTTCTTAGGATTCTGTTCGGTACCCCAAAATGTACCCCAATGCAGTTTTGAGGCTTGAGGCAAATGTGCCAAGCATTAAGGCCGAGGCCTGGACCAGGATTCTAATCATAGGCCTCAGAATCATGTTTGACCCTACCGGCCTGATGCCTCTGCTGCTGTCAAACAGCCACCAATCTCATTGGCACCATACCTGTATAGAAGAACTTTGTAGCCTGGGCCTCTCTCCAGAATATTTAGGCCAATTAACCCTGGAAAAGGCCAAATCAATAGCAGAAGAAAGAATTAGGAACATTGATTGCCAAAATGATAACACCAGTGCTTCTGAATTCTATTGCCAATTGTTATATAGTTGCAAGCCCTCTACTGCAGGGTATCTATACAATCTAACCCTAAATAAATATAGATGGGCCTTTTCCAATGGATGCCTTCCCTTCAGCACTGCTGGCAGGAAGATTTCATGGGACTCCTTATTTACAGAGAATTTGTCCTTGTGGATCCAGGGAGGTAGAAACTCCTGCTCATGTCCTTTTACGGTGTCCTTTTTATTATGCCCCAAGACGTGCTCTGATCCCTCCATTCATCTCTAAATTTAAGGGCCATACCAATAAGTTTTATGTTTATTATTTTCTAAGCGATGATGACTAGACACTCACATACCAGGTGGCCAAATATCTTTATCATGTTATACAACTGTGCAAAACATTTAATTAGTTATGTTGTTTTATTGTTGTATTGTTTTCCTCTTTCCTTGATAACAAATTGTTGTGTTATTTATTTTTACAAAGGCTGGTCAAAGTCTGTAATAAAGATATTTGATTTGATTTTGATTTGTTTAACATAATGAAATATCCACAAAAACCTTTGTACATTACACGAATGAGAGAATAAACTGTAACATTCTTGTAAAAAGAGATTCAAATGCTTTACATAAATAATTTTAAACATGTTGCTATACTTCTTTTCTTCCTTGGTGTCAATAATCTGAAACCTTCTCACTCTAGTTTTCTTTATTTTTATTTTCTTCACTGGTAGCCAGGTAACTAGTGTATTTGTGTAATGAGGGAGGGTGTGGCCTAAGGAGATCAACACCCTATATCAAGGTGTGCATAATTATTAGGCAGCTTCTTTTCCTCAGGCAAAATGGGCCAAAAAAGAGAT